TCATACACTTGCATATTGCATCTCATCTAGGTACGCTAGATGCACCATGTGAAGGATGAGATGTTGGAGCCAAACCCGAAGACAGCGTTTGATGGATCTATCCCGAAGATAGAAGGACTAAGCAAGTGCCATGACCGAAGGTGTCACCAAGACGGTGCAAGCTAACTGAACTGACTTGTGTCGGATCCCAGGCAAGCCCCGGAGCATATTAAGCCTCCTAATTTTCGAAATGCAGTTACAGTATTATTGTGACATATATATTGTTGCATTAAGTTTAGGTGTTGGATGCAAACACTTGCTGTATTGGTTATCCAAATCCTTGTCCAGATATTGATACCCTGAATCCTATATAGCTCAGGTTCGTGTAGTGCTTAGCCCTGCTTAAATGCGGTAGAAGTCGGGTGATTTCCTGTCACCTGCGAGATATAGGGACATACATATGGCACGGTTGGCTATATTTGCTATCGTGGAAAAGAACCTGTTTTAATTTGAAATGAAGACCGGGCGGAGGCTTGCCGGTTTGCAGTGACTCCGTCTGTGTCGCTTAAGGATTGAATCTTGGAGCCTTTCCTGTTCATGTTGAACGCATGCCTCTCTCTTAGTTGGATGGGTCTGGAGACCGACCACGAAGCTGAGTAGCTCACCTCAGACCGGGAGTCGATAAGTATAAAGTGTGCCTCAGAAGGGAGCCGTAGGCGTGAGTCCAAGGGTAGGTGATTTAAAAGTCCTGATCGTCCTGGCAGAAGGGTAATCCCTGAGAGTGCTGGCGCTGATCGAACCCACGAATTTAGTTCCTGAGTTGTCCCAAAGGTGACCCACGGCTACCCTTGCAAAGTATGCCAGGGTGAGAGTTAGGAATACCCCCTCAGCTGAGTTGTAATTCGATTCGAGTCGTCGTCTCTCTCGGTTAGTGAGAACTTGACGGGCTTATCTCTAAAGTAGATACACTAAATAACCTAATGGTTCATAAATGATGATATGATGATGACAGCCTTATTATACCTGCTATGGTTAATATTGTTTGCTCCTAATAAGTGAGTGCTCTAGTACAGGTGCTAATCTAGTGGACAGGTAAATGATGATAAGCTTGATGTTAAGTTTAAATTGGTCACTATATTCATAAGCTCTTTTATGCAACTGTGTCAAGCTAGCCCACCTCATAAGCCTTGCATGACCCTTGGTGTCTTTTATTTCTGGTTTTGACGGGTAAGTCTAGCTGAGTACCTTCTCGTACTCAGGGTTTATCCCACCATGTTGCAGGTGAAGTTCTCGGCCTATTGAAGATGGTGGCTAACCGCCGATGGGCTCGGTGATTCTATAGTTACTTCTTATCTATATGCTTTTGTCGGATGATGTCACTTATGCTAGCAATGTATTTGGAACATATATTAATGTAATCTTTTGAAAGTTACGTTGTTTTCACTAATCGATTTTGAAACCCAAACTTGTACTTTTAATTGTGAACCCATTTGTAATATTATTTTCGCTGCAACCCTGTGTATGTCATATGTATTTGCTTAATCACGCGATCTTGGTTGTGATGTTGATTTACCGAGGTCTTTCGGGACACTTGGCGGACTACCGGGTTTATATTAGCAAAAGTATGCGCGTGTCAACGTGTTAGCGGAGGCAGCCGTACTTGATCTTGTATAAATTGGACGGTTCTGTTACAGCTGGCATCAGAGCAAGATTAAGTATAATACTGTCACAATCCTGAGCTATCTCCCCGTCCTGGCTCCCCATCACCAAATCAACCTATCACACCCAGAGTCGGCCATGGCAGATGGACCGATTTGTGGTCGGCGAACAGCCGCCTCCTCTGCTCCGACTCCGACGCGGGGACGACAACGACCGAGACACGGGGAGACGCCCTGCACCACGTTTTATCAGCAGGGCAGGCGTGCTCCGTCAATCAGTGGGATAAGCGCTCGAATTCCGAAGAGACGCTTTCCTAGCCCCAGGCTGGCGATAGTTCTCACCAGCCGGAAGTTAATAGGCGACGACGAGGGCGAGCCGACGACCAGCGCCGGCCGAGCCAACCAATTCTCTCGGCTCATCATCATCATGCGTCACATCATGCACCACTGGAGCAAGCAAACAAGCCAAAAGCCAAACCATAGTTTGGCCCGCCATCACCATTGCAGTGGGCCCATGGCAGCGCCCACAGCATTGCCTCCACTGCTAAGGCGCGGGCCATGGAGGGGCTAATTGCCATTTTGGGTTGACTTGACTCGTTGCCCTTGTGTTTTTTTATCCCCCCAGGCCTTTTTGTCACTGCTGGATTATATATAGAATTTGTACTAACCCAAGGGCACGTAGTCTAGTAGTTACAGGAGGTAGCATCTCAGGTTGTAGGTTTGATTTTCCGTGTGAGCGAATTTTTTAGGATTTAACGGTGTTGTGCTTTCAGTGATAGACGACGTTGCCGTCGGCAACAAGGCGCATATGGTGACTTCGTCAATCTCGAGGATTTGCCGGCCCAGTTTTCGAGGAAGCTTATAGGGATAGGGTGTGCGTGCGTGCGTTCATAGGGGTGAGTGTGTGTGCGTTATAAGCGTCTGCGTTGGACTGTATATTTCTCAAAAAAAAAAACGGTCTATGTTATTTTCCCTCAAAGAAAGAAAACTAGTAATTCAATGTCTTCAAAATTTATCTCAAATTATAACGTAGCTAAATTAGTTCTCACACGACAGTAATCACATATGTACATGTCATTAATTTTTATAATTATACTTAAATTATAGTAAGCACAATATCTACTCATAATTAAGGAAGAGTCATATGCAAAACTTGCTTTACTTCATAATTTATTCTAAAATTCTTAGGATATCTTAATAGTTTAAGATGAAGGGAGTACTATATTTCTTGTGTCATTGTGTGTACCATCTATCTATATGCTCCTCACCTCCTTTATGAGTTAGCAACTTTAGGAAACATGAGTATTTTGAAAGAGATATTTGTATTAGAAGTTCTGGCGGATGCATTTGCTGTCATACAGTTATTTAAAATTCTTTATCTTCACTTTCTCTCCTTTTGTATATTTTGGTAGGGTGTGTTTAGTATAGCTCTGCTTTATTAGTGGAGGAGCTTTTTTTCTGGCTCTAGCTAATAAAGCAACTCTACTGGTGGAGTTGAAGCTCTTTTAGAAAAATGTTTGGTAAACAGCTTCCCCTGGATGTTAAACACAGTGAAATGTCTATACTACCCTTTTCTTCTTTTTCTTTTTTTTTCTTTTTTTCCTTATTTATTTCCGTCCTCTCTCCACACCCACGTTATCTTCTCTCCTCCTTGATTCCGTCACCATCCTCTTCTCTCCTCCCGTCGCCCACGTCTTCCTCCTCCCCGCACCGCTGGCCCTGTTCACGCTGCTGTGCCTACCTAGGCCTCCCCACACCGTCACACGCCATAGGGGCCTCCACGCCGCCGGGCCGATCTCGCTTGAGTCAGCCGTGCTCGCGGCGAGGCCACGGGAGCCATAGAGCTGGGAGCAGCTAGTGTTTTTCAACTCTCCATCCCACCTACAGCTCTAGAGAGTGCGAAATCCGGGACTTCCTCTATGGAGCTGCACCTTGCGTCACCGTTTGGTTGGAGAAGCAGGTGGAGCCGGTATGGAGCCGGATGGAAGCAGTACCAAACGGCCCCTTAGCAACTTTAGGAAAGACCAAGTCTTGGAGTCACGACCTGTGGCCATTCTAATTTGTGATTAATTTAATTGAAATAATCCCTGCAAAACACACGCTAGTCACACATATTTGTGTTCATCAATAACCAAAACCACTCTTGTGTTCATCAATAACCAAAACCACTCTTGTGTTCATCAATAACCAAAACCACTCGAGCTCCGTAAATAGAGCCTAGATGCGTTCAGTGGCGTGATATGGCAGAAGAGGTGGATCAGAATGATATGGTAATACAAGTTTAGAGAGTCGTGCAATTTACAAGTACCAACACAACTACCTAAAGTATTTTTTCGGCAATGGGGAAATAGCGTGGGACCATTCTCACGGGTGTAGACATTGTGTAAACAGTAAACCAAAGCAAAATTCAGATTCTTTGTGGGGACGCATAACGAAATACGTTACCCGTAAAAATAAAAGAGAAGCAGGGTCCCTGTCAGCTTTATTAGGACTTCGGTAGTAGGTAGCCAGGTCTTCGTCCCTAAATAAGTCTTCGCCCTCTCGCCGTTGAGAAGGTGTGAGATCCAGTCATCCATCTTCAGTTCTCCATTGTGATCGCGAGGTGCATGCCTCCTTTATCTGCTTGCCAAGGTTAGGAGGTATGATGGCTTTGAGTTAGTTCATCTTCTACTGATGACTGTTTTCCTTCCTTTTCTTTTTCCTTTTTTTTTTCTTTTTCCTTTTTTTTTTTCTTTTGAGCTAACCGACTCCGTTTTGCTTTCGGAGTGGTATTCCTCGAGTAGATCTACATTTTTCGTTTTTCACCAGTAGATCTACATTTTTTTCAGTGCCGATGTGTTTTCAGTTATCTCCACTAGATCTGCATTTTCTCTTACATTTCAGTTTTCACCAATAGATGTGCATTTTGTTTTTACCTTTCAGCTAGGCTAATCATTTGTTGCAAAAGCAAGAGCAGTGGTATTAGAAGACAAGAGGACTTAAGGCTGCTAATTTATATGTGCAGGAGTAAACGCATACTAACATGAATAAGCGCAACCGAACGAGTGACAACAGTCCCAGGAAGCGCAACCGAACGAGCGACAACAGTCCATGGAAGCTACCATACCAACTGATAAAATGTATTACAAATAATTTCTCCGAGGAGCTTGGGCGCGGTGCGTTTGGACAAGTCTTCAAGGTAAAACTATAAATGGTTCATAGACCCGTTTGGCATAACTCAGCTTTACTAGTTAAGCTGCTTTTTTCATTTTTAGTTACACGAGCAGCTTTTTCGATGAAACTGAGCTGTTTTTTATCCTATTTGGCAAAACAGTTTTACATGGTGGAACAAATGAATAAAAAGACTATAATGCCCCTTCTTCCTTATCCTCTATCTCTTCTGTCTCTTCTTCCTAAACTCGCATCCATGCAGGGCCTCCCGCCCAACGCCGCACGCTCCCCGGTGATCGTCGCGCCGACAGCCCTGCATGTGCCCTGGCGGCTGCACCGGTCGTGCCACGGTGGCTGCGCCCGCACGTGCCATGGCGGCCACGACCGCGTGCGCCCTTGCAGCCTCGCCGGTCGCGCCCTCTGGATGACGGAGCCGTCGCGCTGGTGGCCCCACATGCGCCCTGATGGCCACGCCGGTTGTGCCCCTGTAGCCGCGCCTATGTGCACATTGGCGACGCTGGCCCTGCGCCCCGACGGCGGCGGAGTCCCGGCCTTGCGCCTCGACGGCGGCGCCACGGCCCTACGACCCGACGGCGGCGCTCCGGCCCGCGCCTCCGCCACCAGCAGGCTGTGTCCCCCTACGGCCACGCCCCGGCGCGCCAAGCCTTGATGGTCGCACCCCTGGCGAGCTGCGCCCCGCCAGGCCGCGCCCCCAGCGGACCATGCCCTGGCGGCCACGCTGCCGCCGGCTACGCCCTGACGGGCCATGCGCGCTCCCTCCCGACCGTGTGCGCTCTCTCCATGTGCTTGGACAAAACTAGTCTTTTGTGCATGCTCCGCACCACATGTGTCAGATAAAGCTATGATAAGCTACTTTTTTCAGCTTCATCCCTTCTCTGTGAGAGCTTCACTCATGAAGCTGTTTTGCAAAATGGTGTTTGGCCAAAAAAAAAAAACAGCTCACAACTGCTCATAAAGATGTTGGTGAAGCTGTGTTAAGCAGGGCTTACACATTCATGTGAACAAAACAAATGCTGCTTATAGTTATTTATTTACTTATTTTGTTTGTTTCAAATCCAACCCATAAGAGCATAAAAATAACTATAAAAGCTAATTAATAATTAATAGGGAGTGCTGGAAGATGGAGAAAAGGTTGCTGTGAAGATGCTCCGTTTCATGGCTAATATCAATGACAAGCAGTTCGGAAACGAATTGGAAATCCTTAAGCGGCTCAAGCATCCCAATATTGTCCGACTAGTGGGGTTCTGCGATGAAGCTGAAGAAAAACTCGTAGAGTACAAAGGCAAACTAATAGTTTTTCAAAGGATACACAGGGCACTCTGCCTTCAGTATATGGCTAATGGAAGCCTTGGCAAGCTCCTTTCTGGTTGGTGATTACAGTATTGCATGAATATTTTGTCTGCCATGCGAATAAAAAAATTATTCATAGCTTTATTGTATAATATGGAGAATGCCATCTTTGCTCTTGCAGGTGAAAATCTTGGCAAGAGTTGGCCGAGACGCTACAGAATAATTAAGGGAATCTGCGAGGGTTTAAAATACCTTCAAGAGGGATTGGAGTTTCCCATTTTCCATTTGGATCTAAAACCGGATAATATACTTCTAAGCCTACTGATGTTGCCAAAAATATCAGATTTTGGTTTATCTAGGCTCATTGGTGAAGAGAATACCAAAAAGACATTGACTCCTCTAGGGACATGTAAGAGTAATGCTCAAGTGGACAGAGTTTTTAATCAGCTGAATCATATATAGTATTCCTTAATCTCACCTTCTTACCTATGTCATTAATGTTCTGCTGCAGTGGATACTTACCTCCGGAATTCATCAATTATCAAGTAATCTCAAAGGAGTATGATATATACAGTTTAGGTGTTATAATTACAAAAATAATCGTCACTGGAATTACTGACTACTCAGATGTTGCCGATATGGCTGCCCAAGAATTTATTCAACATGTAAGAATATGTTGTTTTAACGTTTTTTCTATTAATACATACTAGAGCTCCATTAGGAGCTTCTCACTGCACCAAGTTCGCATCACATCTCGTGACATAGTAACAAAATACTTTTAGGTTTTACCATGTGTTAGTTTTCCATATGTTGTATATTTTTTTAGAAAAAGAGGGTTAGTTTCTGGCCTCTGCTTAAGCACGCAGCCCAACTTATATTATAAAGTTTTCAGCTATACAGCTGATGCATATGAATATCATGTTTTCAGCTATACAGCTGATGCATATGAAAATCAAAGATTACGTGAAAGAAGCGAAAAAATTAAAGGAAGCCAAATCTATTACTCTCCACTCCAAACTATAAAAAGTTTTAACTTTTCTAGATATGTAACTTTTCCTATAAACTTAGATATATATACTATGTCTAGATACATAATAAAAGCTATATATTTAGAAAAGACAAAATGTTTTCAGCCTGATCGGTACTGCTACTTTGTAGCACTGTGGCTGTGGCTGCGGCAACCAGCCAAGCCTACAGCTGCAATTTTGAGCGTTGGCTTGTGTGCAGCAGCAGCCACAACGCTGCAAGTAGCGCAAACAAGCACCACGTTTATAATTTGGAATGGAGGAATCATCCATCATTTGGAAGAAGAGGCATCAGTCCAAATCAATACAAATCAACTAGAAAACAATAAAATGTCCAACATTATTGAACAATACGAAATCTTAAAGGCCATCCATGGAAAGCAAAAGGCTCCATTGCTCTGATTTCTAGATGATGGCATACCAAAATTAACCAATCCTTATGGTCATCAGTACATTGCAACAGAGTCCACAAACGAAGCCAGTGTCACAGAAAAGTACCGGTAAAAAGATTTTGTTTGGCCATTATTGAACACAAAATCATTCCTACTGAGCCATTTTGCCCAACAAACTGCTGCAGCTCCTGTCAATAACAAAGGTTTAAGGTTTTGACCACCTTTCTTAGACCAAGAGCTAAACAGATGATTAATATTCTAAGGAGGTATGATGCATAAAACAAAATGAACAGTGCCCCACAAGGCTTTGGCACAATGACACTCAAAGAAAAGGTGTTGGATAGTTTCTAACTTACTACAAAAGTTGCACAAGGATTTGTTATTAATTCACATGTTCAAAACATGTACCCATATTTACAATAGGGCAGTACTATGTTTTGTTACCATGTACGATTCCAATTTCCATTGATCTTAACTGCACCTATACGGCTTTACTTTGTGTTCTAACCTCGAAGGTTCATGACAAGTGGAAAAAATGTCTACAAAAGATGCCCAAGTATGCATCACTTGAAGTACAATATTGCAACCAAGTGAAAAGATGTATCCAAATTGCAAGAAGGTGCATGGAGAATGATCGACATAAAAGGCCTACAATAAAGGATATTGTGAGCCAATTGGATGAGGTGAGAAATTTTAAACTTGACTCACAGGTGCTGATGAAAAGGATACGATTATTAATCTATGTAACAATAATAATTTTCCCAAAAAGTTACCTATGTTCATAGAAAATGCAGAACTTTTTGTAAATCAAATGTCACTGGACCCTGACTACATGTCTTTTAGTATTTACATTGGAAACACTATAACAAATTAATGCTAGTTTTTTAAATATAAAAATGACAAAATACTCCTTTGCCACTTAATATTGATTTTTTTTCCATCCTCCATTCAAAGACGGTCGGTCTTCTTCAAAACAGATTGAGAGGCAAACCAAAATTCCGCGAGCTACCCTCTCAACCCTGAAACATAATGGAATTTTATTAGTTGTCTCAAACATCCTAAGTTTGAAATAATATTAATAACCTGTTTTATAATATATAGATGAGTTTAATTAGATACATAATTTACCTCTGATGTGGTAGATCGTAACACTCTTTCGTACAAACTTGATCGAACTTAATGTGTTGACTTGGGACAATTGACAATGCATTATACTCCATCCATTCCAATCTATAAGACATTTTGACTTTTCTAGATGCATAGATTTTGTTATGCACTTAGAGATATAATATGTCTATATATCTAGTTAAAGCAATGTATCTAGAAAAGACAAAACATGTTATAACTTGGAACATAGGGAGTATTTTGAAACGGATGGAGTAGGTAGCATACGAATTAGAAAGGCTTATAGATAATGATGTTGTTCTTGGCTAAGGTTATGGCGGGGGCAGGATACTATATTTATTTTCACTCGTGCCTGCACAACTTAGGTCTCTGTATTAATTAATATTTGAAACATTATTCTTGTTTATTAAATATTAATCAAACTGGTTGTCTGTAGATGGATCCGTTGGAACCAGTCGGGTTTAGGTTACTGATATCTACAACCAATATGCACAATCATCCTCCGTCGGAGATCTGCCATCCTGCCCACCCGGAGCACAAGCTGAAGCTGATGACGGACGACGGCGCGCCGTTCTTGTGCGACGGCTGCAAGGAGCCCGGTTACGGGCCCAGATCCATGTGCGATATCGGCGGCGGGGGGCATACCTTCGACCTCCACACGCGTTGCGCCCTCGCAGGGATCCTCTGTTCGATGTCCACACTCTGGTGCATCCGCTGTTCGGCTACGGCAAGCAGTTCGAGTTCCGCTTCCTCCACGAGGCCCCGTCCCCTGTCCAGGAGGGCAGGAGGGTCTGCGACGCCTGTGGCGAGGCCACGAGGGGTTTCGCCTACCACTGCTCCGATCAAGACGTCGACATCCACCCGTGCTGTGCGTCCCTGCCGGACCGCATTATCCATGACGGCCGTGCCTTCGACCTCCACCGGAGGGCGTCGCGGCCGTGTGCCTTGTGCCCAGAGGATGAGGGCTAACGCCGTTGGTTCTGGGCGTACCGCTGCTACGTGGACGGCGATGAGGTTGTAGAACTGCACGTGGCGTGCCTCAAGGAAATGGCTCGCCGCAGCTGGGAGGCCTGCTACCGTAACCGGGACGTGGGTGACGGCGCCCTGAATGTCGACAGCATGCTTGAGAACATGTTTAGCAGCACGGCGCTGGTTTTTGGCAGCTTGGTTGTCAAGATGTAGCGGCCTTTGCAGGGCAGCACGGTTTTAATTTGGGAATCTCGATGGAGCCAAAAGCCACAGTATTGTATGAAGATGTGTGTGACGACCCATTATCTGCTTTTACTAGAGTATCTGTATGTTTGTATACTATTTTTCAACAAGCGCATATGCATGGACTGGTTTGTACAAACTAATTAATAGACACCTATGTGTTATAAAAAATCATTTCAGACATAATGAATAAATATTGATAAATTTTTTACTAGTCAATTCATATTTATTATACAGAAAATAATTGAATTTTGCAGTGATACAATATGGTATGTCAACATATCCTCCCGACTCAAAATCACTGATTCAGTTTTTAAACATTCTGGAAGAATTCCGAGATCTTCGCCTTGCACAATGGAACTTCAGAATTGTAATGAAAGCAAAGTTGCTACCTCTGCTTGAGCAACAAGAGGCCTATTGGAGACAAAGTGGAGCCATCAAATGGGTGAAATTAGGAGTGTTGCAACAACAATGTTCTTCCATGCAAATGCTACAATTAGACACATAGGCAACCTTATTACTCATCTAGAAGAAAGAGAGGGCTCCATCCTTACTGCACACAAGGACAAAGAGCTGCTACTTTGGGAAAGTTTCAAGGAGAGATTGGGGCAGACAGATTTTAGAGGGTTTGCTCTTGATCCAACTGAAATTCTAGAAAGAAGGGAAGATCTAGGTTTTCTTGAGGAACCATTCCTAACCAGATCCTGTCATAAAAAACCTCCTAAATGACAAACCACTAGGACCAAATGGTTTTAATAATGAGTTCCTAAAAGTCTGTTGGGCAACCATCAAGGAGGATTTTCTATAAACTATGCAATGACTTCCACAACAACAATCTTTGTATGAGGAGCATCAATTCTTCTCTCATTACTTTTATCCCAAAGATAGATGGTGCCAGGACTGTATTAGATTATAGGCCAATTTCCCTACTCAACTCTTCAGTCAGACTCTTGACCAAACTGCTAGCAAATAGGTTGCAAACAGTGATCACCAAGCTAGTCCATAGAAGTCAATATAGTTTTATTAAAAAAAGGACTACCCACGACTGCCTAGCTCGGTCACTGGAATATTTGCACTTATGTCACAACTCAAAGAAGGAAATTGTTATTCTAAAGCAGGATTTTGAGAAGGCTTTTGACAAGATGGAATACCAAGCAATGCTCACTATAATGGAGAAAAAAGGCTTTGGACAGAAGTTGCTACGATGGATGAACCAAATTTTTTCTTCAGCAACCTCAGCAGTACTCCTAAATGGGACACCTGGAAAAACCTTCAATTATTTAAGAGGAGTGAAGCAAGGTGATCCCCTTTCACCTCTCCTTTTTGTGCTAGCTGCCGACTTCCTACAGTCACTGGCGAACCGAGGCAAAGAGCTAGGGCTACTCAGATTACCAATTTCCTTAGAATCAAACAATGACTTCCCAATCATTTAGTATGCTAATGACACATTGATTATCCTTGACGGTGATGCCAGGCAGGGTTTTTTTTCTCTAAAATCTGTCATTAACACTTTCCCTGAATCCACAGGGCTAAGAGTGAACTTCCAAAAGTCCATGATGCTACCTATTAACATGATAGAAGAAATACTTGACTTGCTTGCTTGGACTTTTGGGTGCTCCAAAGGGTCACTGCATATGCACGGACTGGTTTGTACAAACTAATAGGCACCTATTATGTTAAAAAAAAACCATTTCATACATAATGAATAAATATTAATAAATTTGTTTACTAGTCAATTCATATTTATTATATAATAAATAATTGAATTTTGCAGTGATACAATAGGGTATGTCAACATATCCTGGTATAATTTAAATATTTATGTGTGATATGACGTATTGCTAAGTTCATATCTCCTTTGTTCGTACTACAGAAAGCATATATTATAGATATAAATTAGATGAGGGTACTTAAAATATTTTTGCACAATTTCTATAAATAAATGTCAGCATGCACATGGCTGTCATTCCCCTTTCTCACCATCTTCATCTTATTCCCTACCTCCCCCATCTTATTGTGCTCCTACTCCATTTTCCTACCTGTTTTCTGTCTCATGTAACTCCCATTCATCTTCTTAACCCTTTTCTCTCTATACCCCCTTCCATCCTCTTAAACCAAAGCAATTAAAAAATTGATTGTCATTTTATAAATAGGATGACACGACAATAGGTACGATTTCATATTGTTCTAACACATTGAAGGACTAAATTTAACTCATTTAGGTATCGGTCTAGTGCAACACTCTATACTGTCTTTTATCATGTGTAATTCAAGAATTTGATTAGGGTTATTATCACCTTTATGGTTTCCAATCATGTGATGAAAAGATCCATTCCATCGATGCCTCATCCTTTAATGATGTGACCATAATGATTCTTGATGACCCTTTATCAAACTGAACTTACTATAAGCAAGCTTGGACATATGCATAAATGTAATTTGTAAAAAGTTGCATAATTATATTCATTATTATTTAAATATTGCAAGGACATTGAGTCCTAGCATTTTTAAATAGAGTGATATACTGTCCTTGTAGTTAAAATATATGTTTGCTTTTCATCCTAATAAACTTAACTAACTTGAGTTTAGTAACACTGTGTTTAATGAAAAAACATGATAAGAAATACCATTATTGGAGTGTTGTTATAGCTTCACCTTTTGTTAAATCTATTTGCACAAAATGAAACAATTTTTTTGCTTCCCCCAAACTCTAGAGCACCATGGTAAGATTGAAATATTCAGGCAGTGTGGATGGATGGGAAATATCAAATCCCACTGCTCTGGGAACTCAAAGCAGGGGGTGCCTCATGACATTTGTACAAGCTTGATTCAGAGATCAGCCATTAAGTCAACCAAAGATGAAGGGCAACACAATATACCATTGTGCTGACGGTTGACCATGTTGCACTATATCAGGTACAAAAGTATCTTGTACAAACTATGCTAGATCCAAGTGACAACAACATTGAGGATAAATGTGCCTAATTTGAACTCCAATCACTACTGACCAATCGACAAGTGAGAGACTTATTTTGGCACCATGCTCATTGCACTAATTAGTAATCACCCCATATCCTCGAAGCTAGATCAGACTTTGCTGCAGCTGAAGAGGAGCCCATCACCGTGGTGTTTATTTATCCATCATATATACCAAATCATATGAAACGATCAGATTTAAATCATTGAGCACAATCCAACTGATGGATCTGTCACACCCAATTTTAAGGATAAAATTAAATGCACTAAACTCATGTGTGCCCAGAGATCAATCACACACACAAGCTGACAAATTATATAAAGTATCATCACAGTGCATCTTACATCACGATTAATAACATAACTTAGTCTTACACAACACAGCGGAAAATAAAAGACAGCTCTCTCGTGGAAGCTCCAATATAGGGACGGTCAACTGGTTGACCACAAGCCTAATAGTCCTCAGGAAACTCCTCATACACGTTGTCATCTGTTACCCATCCGGGATTTTTATCCAAATATAGAAAGTAAACAAGCGTAAGTACATCCCGTACTTAACAAGTTAACATGGGGATATGAAGCTCAAAATGGTTGACACTGGTTTACTGCAGTTAGCACTTTTAGTAAGTCAAGATTTTATTATCAAGTTATACTTAAGCTCCTATTGAAACCCACATAATCATATATCAGAATCATTTGCATCATATTATCATCGTATACCATCGTAAATGAACAACAATGAGCAACCAATTATTCTGTGAGTTTTCCGGACCGCTCGTGACTGTGAACACGCCTGTTATAACAGTTTATAACCCTCTGCAGAGGTGGTGCACATTCACCGCGAGTCGTGATTTCCATATGCCCGGGTTAATTACTCCCATATCACTGCCAAGGTGAGCGGACAGGGTACACTATGAAGCCATTTCATAGGTTTCTCTAACAAGTTAGGGCCGCTAGGTTTCCTCGACAAGCACATGTAGGAACCCCCTTTCCTATGACACATATCCATCGTGGCTATACACATAGGAACAGAGGCAGTGCTATACCCAACGTGGCAAGCCCCTTTTGCGCCATAAAGGTAACCTCTAACAAGCTAGAAAAGGTCCTATTACTGAGCTAAAGTCAGAGCCATATGACCCTCACGGTTGCACTGTTAGTCCCAGCTTTTCCCGACAGATAAGTCCTCATGGAGGGCCGAGAGCATCATGATCGAAAGTCATTTGCTCCTTCGCCCTATATTTCAGTTCTTTAAAAGTCAATTTTACCTTTTCGTTCCATAGAACCATTGTTCATTATGTAGATCAGGTATAGTTACATTGAGTGCTAGCAAACTACCCATATGCATATAACCCATAGGAGATCAAGGAACAGGATAATCAACACTAGGATGTCCTTACGGGTATCAAAATTAGACACATGCAAATGAGTAATTATTAAAGGTGAATAGGCATCAAGGTAGATCTCATGCTATACTTGCCTTGGTTAGCAAACTCCTGCTGGTCCTACTGGTTGTCGAAGAACTCTTGGTCTTCAACGTTCTCCTCACCGTCTGAACGCGACCAACACGGCAACATACAACATTCCAAAGGCATTCATGCAAAGCAAACAATCCTATAATTAGAACAGTACACCAATAGTATAGAAAACAAGATAAAATGTTTATGAAAAGAATCTACATATTGCTACGATCATGTCAACGCGAAGTTCACGAAAAACGGAGCTAAAACGCGAAAGATATGAATTAAACGGGGTTTCCTATAGCAATTTATTTAATTAAACCTATCCATGAAATTTAAAAGTTGCAAACATGATTAACAGTGGTACTAACATGTAGAGAACTTTATTACGAATCTAACGTGATTTGAACGGGTCAATTTGGAGCTAAAACGACATTTTTATGAGCAAAACAAATCCAGTGGCATTTCTATAAATAGTTAGAACTCATTTTCGATTTAAATAAATTTAAAAAGAAATTTAGATTTGAATCTGATGGAGGAC